CCGGACTGGAAAAATAAAGGAATCCTATACCTGGAACACATATATGAAGGATTGGACTTCATCCCATTTAATCAAATAGTCTTCCAATTTGGAATGGATAAGAATAGCTTTTTAGAATATCACTAAATTAAATCTGTAGTCAAACAAAAATTTAAGCTCAATAAAATAGAATTACAAACACCACCAAGGGTATTAGACTTTTATAATCTCAAACCCCCCAAACTACTGTCTAAAGTATATAAGACACTGTCCAAAATAGACGATAAAATTGCAATCCCTATTGAAAAATGGGAGGTGGATCTATCAGTTAGCTTTGACCAGGATTTATGGTCCCAAACTTGTTTAAAAACTTTTAAAATGATCAGACACCCCAATTTACAATTAATTCAGTACAAAATTCTACACAGAGTACACTATACAGGTCATCGGATGTTTAAGATGGGGTTTGTGTCGTCTGACACCTGTACACACTGCACAAACAACATTCCTGACAATTACATTCATGCACTGTGGTCCTGCCCACCTGTCCAGGAATTTTGGGGTAGAGTATGTGAGGATCTGTCAAAATGTCTGAAATGTCATATCCCAACTTCCCCCTCTCTTTGTTTACTGGGACAGCTGCACGATGTCCCGATTGCAACATCTTTGGTTCACGTGGTTCTGACTGCCATGTGCATCGCTAAGAAAACTATCCTCTTGAATTGGAAAAATAGAGAAACTCTCTGCATCAACCAGTATAAAAATCTTTTGTTAGATCATATTGCACTTGATATAGCCTCTGCTTCCACTTCAGATGAATCTCTCTGGGCTCCTTTGATCGGTTCCATCACATAGCGAGGGTGGGGGGCCATTGATGTTGTCCTTCGGGATGGTGTGTGTGTGTGTGTGTGTGTGTGTGTGTGTGTGTGGGGGGGGGGTCTGAGTTTGGAGTATCCAGATGTTCCCTGGAGGTGGGTTCACTGGGGGTGTCTGGGACTGGGGGGCTGTTGCCCCCCTCTGGAGGTGCTTGGGTTGCCTCGGGGGGTGTACTACTGGCGGTTGTGAGTGGGGCCCCTTGGGGATCTTGGCGGCGGCCATGGGTCACTGCCTGGCGGCTGCAATACCCCTGGGCGGGTCTGGTTGGGGGCCTGGGGGCTCGGGGTTTGGGGGTGGCCGGCCCCGTGTGGGGATCTGGGCGGGGCCTTGGGGGTCGGGTCCTGACATGTATGCTGCCGGGAAGAAGGCAGGAACACTCAGCAGTGCCTGGCCCGGGTTCGGGGGCATCAGGTAGACCTTGGCTCCTCTGCCGTTCCATCACAGGGGAGGGGGAGGTCCAGGACGGGGAGGACCAAACCTTACCTGGATGTCCCATGTCTTATATATTCTGGAAGTTGTGCAAATGCAGGGGTGGGCATAGATATTCTGCTGGGATGGGGCTGGGTTGGTGCCCTCGGACTCCGTGAGGCTCTGTAATGCTGCTGCTTTGGGCCCTGGCAGGATGGGCTGGGGTCTCCATGCCCTGGGTGGCAGTTTGACAACAGAGGTGCCTATTGGGGCCAGTAGGGGAGCTGGCTCCCTGGAGGGCTAAGCCCAACCAGCCATTCCTCCCCATCCCCGCATATTTCTCTCCTCCTGCTCCCTCACATCATCACACAAACATACACATAGGACCTTGGGGGGTGGGCAAGTCAGGGAGTGCGGGTATGGACCCCATTTCCGCATTCCTGTGGCAACCTGCCCCCCAATTTTATTTGCACCTTATACACTTCCACTGACGACATTCCACACAAACACACACTTAGGGCCTTGGGAGTGAGCACATTCAACAGCATTTGGCAGGGGGATATTTCAGCCTCCTCCCGAGTGCCGGTGCCCACTTCCAATTTTAAACCGCATTTAGACACTGATGGCTGAGGGTGTAAGTGGGGTGGTGCGGTGGCATCAGCTGGCATATGCCGGATGATGCCCGCACTGCCCACTCACCACAGCCATGGAATACACCTCATGATTACACAACACTATATTGGAGCAGGTGGAGGGAGACTAGGGGTCTTAGCTACCTCTGTTGTTGCTAGGCTTCCTGGAGCTGGAGGCTAGGAGGGAGATCTGGCCGTCTGGTTGTGGTCTGGGGTGGTGGGTTGCTGTGCTCAGCGTTGGGCGGGGGATCCTGCTCATCAGCACCCCAGCAGAAAGGGTCAAACTCTGGTTCCCGGTGATGGTTGTACCCCATGTGCAGCAGTACCGGGACCAGAGTTAACAGGGTGTGTATGGGGAGCATGAGTGAGTGTCCGGCGTGCATTTTTGTAAGTCTTGGGTTGTATGTGCATGTGTGAGCATGAGGGAGGGAGTGTGTGACTGTGTTTGTGTATGACTGTATATGTCAGGTGGGGCCTTTGGGTCCTCCCCTCTCCTGGAACTTCTCTTGATGATATAGATCTTTGTCCCCCCTCCCCCTGCCACACCTGGTGTGGGGGCTTGTGCCATGGTCTGCCTGAGTGTTCGTGGCAACCGGGTCTGGGGGTTTAAGATTTTGGCATCTGCCTGATAGATCCCGGTGGCTGCCTGGTGGGGTCTGGGTCCCTGGGCTCTGCTGGGTCCCCGGCAGGGGTGGTCACCCCTGGGTCCCGGGTCGCTGGGTCCCGGGCTCGGACGGCTAGGGGGTGGGAGGCTGCGGGCGGGCCTGTGGGCTTGCCGCTGATATCTCCAGGGACTCTGCCGGCTGCTGGTTGTGGCCCCCCGGGGCGATCCTCTGTGCCTCTCGAGGGGGGCTGGGGCCTTTATGGTTGCAGTCTCCTTGGGGTTCCTGCATTCTCGGGCAACGCCTGGATCTCTGGGACTTGGAGCTCCCCCCGTCTCCTACGCATCTTTGGGGGGCGGATCTGTGGTCCCTCACACTCTCTGTTGGACGCTCCTATAGAGAAACCTTAAATAAACAAGCGCGTGTACACACACAGGTGCTCACATGGTGCTCTCAAAAGTATGGGCTTGGGCACGTTCAAAACATGTCTTAAGACTATGGGGGGCACTTAATGCATTGTGATTTATTATCGTGATTCTTCAGTTAAGCAATGTTGATTATATATATATATATATATATATATATATATATATATATATATATATATATATATATATATATGTATATATATATATATATATATATATATATATATATATATATATATATATATAGTTGTTTTTTTTTCATCAAGTTGACGCAGTGATAGGTAGATCTTGTTGTATTGTTGTTGTGTCCCTTTTTTGTGTCCTTTTGTTTATTTTTTTTTTTTGTCTTTTTCTGCAGGTCTAGAAGCAGACTTTTGTTCATTGTTTATTTTTGTGGACCCCCCCCCCCCCCCCTCTCTCTCCACCTTTTCTCTTCCTTTCTCTTTCACCTCTGTCTCCGTGTCTGGTCGGAATTACAAAGCATTCAACAACAATAACAATAAAGTTTTAAGTATCAGGCGTGACATTAAAAGCAAACGCTTTGATGCTAGGCTTTGATGTAAGGCTTGTCACCAGCATTCAGACATCCATTCTGCTTGCTTCACAGCCAGACAGGACACGGTAAAAAAAAAAAAAAAAAAAAAATTTAAAATCTGCCATCGTTATTGGCTAGGAGGTACCCTAGAACGTTAGCTGGTACCATATGATGTCACAATGTTGTTGTGAGCCTGTGTGTGTGTGTGTGTGTGTGTGTGTGTGTGTGTGTGTGTATTTGTTAGCGGCTCCACCCTCTCGGTCTGCTAGGCTACTAGCCTAGTGAACTAGACCAAATTCTTGCTTTGCAAAGTTTGGTCTAGGCATGCTCCACTGGAACCTCTACAGCTCCTACCAGGACTCTGGCCAGCCAATCACAGCTCTCTAGAGGGGTTTCAAACACATAAAGAGCTGTGATTGGTCCATAATGGTGGGCCAGTCATAGTGCTCTATCTGCTTAGTGAACAAATCACAGAGCTTTATCCGCTTTGTGGGCCAATCAGTGCACTCTATATGCCTGGTGGGTGGGATGATGCAACAGAGTGAAACAAGAGTATGTCACATTCATTGTCCAGTGGAATGCGGAGATCATTTGAAAGACAACGGTAGAACCCGCCTCACAACCGAGAGCTATCAATGGAGCGTGGCCAGACTAAATAATACATTTATTTAGTCTGGCTTGCCAGACTACTAAGCAACAGCATTTGTTGCATTTTTCAAACAGGAAGTGGAAGTTGAGTAAGAATCTGGTAGGGGGTGACTTGCTCTTTAATGACACCACTTTTACATAACAAACACATATTATACATCAAAATCTTCTGCTATTTTTCCGCTGTCCAAAAATGTCAAAATATGACAGATCTGAGCTAACGTTTTAGAGATATTTAAGTTGCTTTGGCACAAAATGTGAAGGAGAGATTTTCCCCGTGTAGTGATACTCTGTCTTTCGAACAAAGCTACGTTCAGCTAGCCAGCTAAAAAACAAATCAAACAGAAACAAGAATCTTCACCCAAGGCTTGCTTTTCTTATCTGAAGATCTTTTTAAATGTGTTATCAGCATAGCTGCAATATAAAGAAAAAGGTAAAATACATACACACGTCTTAGTGATGTTAGTAACCTAAAATGTTTGACTTTTCCTTTGTTTTATGAGGGGAGGCACAGCATTTATCAGATATTGATGAAAAAAGTGGATATCGAGCTGAGTATATTTGCTTTTAACTATAGAATGTTTACATTGGTGCAGAACTTTATGTATTTATAATTTCAGCTTTATTTATTTTAGTTCAGGGCCCATGGCTGTAAATATCCACGATGATGCTCAGATTTAATTAGCTAACCTTTATCTACAACTCTGTTTGGTTTATTTAGGTTTACCTAGTTTATTCTGCATAATTGTTGCTATTTTTAATATTATCACTACACAGCTAAGTGATTTATTTCAATCTTAATATTATACTTTTCACAAAATCTCCATTTGAAACACTCAAACCGACTCCTCACCCTTTTATAATTTATGTTTTTCACACAAAGAAAACTCAGTTTTCCAAAAATGTTTTCTTTAATGTAACCAAAAGAACAAAGATATTTTGACATTTTATTGCTACAAAACACACAATCAATGGTACAGCTTTCCCAAGAAGAACAAAAATGATTTATCCTGCTGATTTTACTCCCGTTGGTCGACTTGCTGGTTTTCCTCATTCTTGTTAACAGATAAGAACAATCTTACAGAACAGTGACACAGCGAGAGAGCGAGAGAATAATTTCTACAAAGCACGTCCCCTGCCAGCCTGCTCTTTTTACTCTTTCATTATTCTCTCATCTGTTTTGAAAGTAGAGCCCAGGAACAGCTGCAGCTCATTCAGGCGCACGGGACTCCAAATAACAGGTGTCATTTCTGAGGTGTTTTAGTTTTCAAATCGAGCCAAGGTTTTTGTTTTCCACCCTCGTCTGACTTTATTCAATGCTTCTCTGAAAATATATTAATAAAGAAAGCTTTGGAGAAAAGCCACGGGTGCAGAAGGTGCACGTGTTTCTCTAATAACGGCTCCTTGAAGGATAAAGGAAATGAAATTACACCTTGCTTGTTTTAATTTTTTTTATTAGGGGGTGTCACAGTGATCCTTGTGAGCTTGAGCCTGACGCTCCAAGATATCCGACGGCTCGTAAAGCAAATCATCCTCTCCGAGTGTCGAGCTGTGGTCCAAGTTCACAAAGTTTGGGATGTTGAAGTGAGACAGGAAGTCAAGACACTCCCTGTCTGTCTTTGTCTGCTGGTGTCCCCCGGTTTCCTCGATGTCCTCCTCCATCTCCTCCACCCCATTGGAGCAAATACCTCTAGTGAGTCTGTCTTTAGTGCTGTCCGCCAGCTTCTGCCTCCCCGGACCCTGATCTTCCTCACTGATGTAGAAGTTGAAATAGGAACGAGACCCGGCCAGCAGCGGGCGAGAGAAGGCCTTGTCGTTTTCACCCTGGTGGCTGCTGATGTCCATCAGACAGCTCCTGGGTTGATGGTGCTTTTCTGCAGAGTCTGGGTTCCTGTGAAGAATCAAAGGAAGCATCCGGAGTGACCCAGAAGAAAATAACTTTAAAACAAGGAACAAATTGGTAATTTCACCCAATTTCCTCTCACATTTCCTGTCATTTATCCTGCTCCTGAAAATTGATTGTCAGATGTATTATTTCAATGGGGAAATTGGGTCGATAAAGACTTAGCAACAAACTCGGCTCAGCTCCTCAGATCTTATGTAACTCTCTTCTGCAGCTCGACAAGGGAAAAAAAGCCTTTTCCCCTAAAAAAAATCCTCCTCGTGCCACTCATTCAAATCACATCAGCTCCAAGGCCAGCTCAGATTACTGACCTCAACCTTGGAAATGTGAAAAGTGGAACAGGGATACTCACTCCTGGTGTGGAGCTCCGGTCTTGGTGAGCAAGGTGAGGACGAAGAACATGAACATGACAAACACAGCCAGTCCGACCCAGAATCCTATGACAATCGAGTCTGGGAGTTCAGAGAGAGAGAGAGAGAGGAACTCTTTTTAGTGGAAGAATGAATCCTTCATCATAATTATGCTCCTTTAAAAAAGATAATTGGCTCTGAGGTAAACCTAATTAGACTCCCATGGCTTGTTTTCTAGCTGATGAATGATCATTTTCTTAAAAAGAACAGAAACGAAAAGCAAAACATCAAAAGATAATGGATTTGGTAAAGGTGTAATGAGTAACACACACACACACACACACACACACACACACACACACACACACACACACACACACACACACACACACACACAGAGTAAGACAAAGCCATCTTCCTTACATCTGTGCGCTTTGAGTCCCTCAAAGGATACAGGCACCTCCTCGTCGTAATACTCGTACTGCCACACGTAGTCGCTGCGTCGCGCGCTGATTTGGCTCCGGTTGTGCAACTCCGACATCTCACTCCGATCTTTACCTCAGCAGACGAATTAAATCAATCCCATAAAATAAAATCCACATAAAGTCATTTGTTGTAAATCCACAAAGTTGGGAAATGTCCTGGTAAGTTCATCTTTAAAGGTGGTGATAAATCTGCAGCCGGGATTCTTCAAAAGATGAGAAATTCTGATGGGAATTTCAGCTACTAAATCCTGAAATGTGGAGCGAAGTGAGGAAATCCGCGGCGTCCATCCATCCCTCCATCGTTATGTCCTCAGAGCGAAAATGCATCAGCCTTTTTAAGCTCTCCAGTGCGCAGCAGCTGTGCGCTGGTGGCTGCAAGCTGCTGGCTCATGAATGAAAGTGCCGGAGAGATTCTGCGTCTCCCGCCTGCTGGGAGATGCACTAAACTTCAATATGAGGTCAGCGGATGCTTTAAAGGTGCATGCAATATGGAATACTTTATCATTTAAGATTTATTTTCCAAATCATCAGAATTAGGAGTTTCATTGTTGTCATTTAAAAACGTGAATTTGATATGCATGTTTTAAACTTTTAAAATGAATTAATGCGTTTAAAAAAGTGAAATTTTAAAATTCACGAGAAAGCAAACAAAGTAACACATAAATACGCTTAATTAAAATGTGTTAACCTTCAGATCAGAACACAATTGACCTTAAAGAGCAAGTCACCCCCAAATAAACTTTTTTTTGCTGATAAACTAAATAAACGAGTGTCTAATTGTGCTGCAGACACGTGTAGTCAATAATTTGGCACCTCAGTGCATCTTTGTTAAAATTTAAATATTCTGCCTAAAACTGGCAGTGTTGTGCCGTTGTCAGGTAAAAACTATGCACTGTATTTGAATTTAAATCTGCCACCGCTATTGGCTAAGAGGTATGCTATGATGTAAACTGGTACATTATGATGTCACAATGCTGTTGTGAGTCTGTGTGTGTGTGTATTTGTTAGCGGCTCCACCCTCTCGGTCTGCCAGGCAACAGCATTTGTTGCATTTTTCAAACATGAAGTGAGAGTGGAGTTAGACTCTGGTAGGGGTTGACTTGCTCTTTAAGTTGCGCTTTAACCCTTTAATGACCCCAGCAAAAAGCATGGAAACACCTTTTGACCCATGTTAAGTAAAAAAAAAAAACATTAAATTTCATTGCTTGAGCACCTTCCCCTTTTGTTTGAAGTGCCCAAAGTGCCCTTTTTTGGGTCTTTCGTTAGATTCTACCGTTCAAAACTGTTATACTGTGATACAGGTCAGGAACTAGGACCATGCAGAGGCAGCTGTCTCAAGTTGAAGCCTATTTTCCCTTAGACCCGCCTACAAGCTCGCTGATTGGCTCTGCCGCATCATACTAACGTGTGATTGGTTGTCCCCGCTGTCGCTCTTCCTTGCAGCCATGGAGAAAACAGACCGTGTTTTGCCTGCGGACTGGAGTCTCCTTTCATCTACCTGTAAGTGTTTTTCTGCCTCCTTCACGTCAGCTGGATGGATTTTAATATCAGAGCATTTGTTTACGTGCTTTTGAGTCTGTGGCTAGTGTCTGTGGAGTAGTGAGGTAGCTGCATGTCTGAGTCAGAAAATGGGACATGAGAGAGACTTCTCCTGAAGTGCTGAAGAAACTCACAACAAAGAATCACAGATGTTGATATTTCTCACTTGAGATTCTCTCGGTCATAACTTCTGAATTACAAATCGAATAAAAATAATTCAAACGGTTTCTAACAGTACATACAATGAGCTTTTCAACGAGGTATAACATGATTTAATTCATGTTACTCAAAAAAATCGCTATTAGCCTAGAGGGAAACCAGCTTTGCAGCGTCACAGAAAAAAGAAACGGAGCGAATCCAAACCCGTGGCAGTGGGATTTATTTCTGTCAACAAGCCAACAAGCTACTTTGCCCATTTAAACAACTGCTACTATAATTTACTTTACTGTTTTTCTCAGTTGCTTTGGTGCATTTCTCACAACATAATTGATCTCTGCACCACTACTAAGGCTCTTCTCAAAACAATTAGTGCAAACTGCAAAACATGGTGGATAACTTGCAAAAGTGAGTCACTTCATCAAAAAGAAAAGTCAGTTGCTCAAAATAAGTAGTCAATGCTTCAAAAGCAAGTCCCTTAATCAAAACAGATAATATATTCATCAAAAGCAAGTACGGTGGCACAGGAGTTAAGTTCTCGCCCCGTAATCGGAAGGTTGCAGGTTGGAGCCCCGCTCAGTCTGTCGCTGTCGTTGTGTCCTTGGGCAAGACACTTAACCCACGTTGCCTGTTGGTGGTGATCGGAGGGACTGGTGGTGCCAGTGCTCGGCAGCCTCGCCTCTGTCAGTGCGCCCCAGGGCAGCTGTGGCTACATCGTAGCTCATCCCCACCAGTGTGTGAATGTGTGTGAATGGGTGAATGACTGGCTGTGTTGTAAAGCGCCTTGGGGGGTTCCAGGACTCTAGAAGGCGCTATATCAAATACAGGCCATTTATATCAATCAAAGTGTCAGGGCTGTCACAATTACAAGTCATTACACCAGCACCTTTGGTCACAAAATCAAATGGTTAGAGCATGTTCTCATTGTGACGGATTTCTTCGTAGGTGCTTCCAAATGACGCGTCAAGTCTGGACAGCATGCATGGCATTTTGAAAACCATAAATTGTAAAGGAAAATCAAGACACCTCATATGCATTTTTGATAATATTTAAGTGAAACTGTTCACAGCATTGTGCATCTGGGGAAATACAATAAAACAAACATTTTACAGCAAACATAAACTCAGACAGTAAACCTTACTGCAGTAGTTATGAAACAAAAAAAAAAAATAACTGAACAGACACTGATGCATATCAATCATATCTAGACGCTCCCGTCTGTCTGCCCACATATTTTCATCAACATCACAGGGAATGCCAGCTCTATCGATGCATCGGGGAAAGTATCTTCTGCAGTGTCGATTCCACCCTCTGCAGGACTCTGCTGTGATGTCATCACAAGCTGCATCCATAGCTGCTAGCAGGGCCATTTGGGTATGTGGATGCCTGTCATATAGCTTCCACCTCCAGGAAGAGAAAAACTCCTCAATTGGATTTAGGAATGGAGTGTAAGGAGGAAGAAACTCCATCAGCATCCTGCCGTGTGCTGCAAACCACTGCCTGACTACAGCAGAGTGATGGAAGCTAACATTATCCCAAACCACTACATACATTGTCCGATTGTCACCAGGACACACACCAATTTTCATTAGTGTGAGATAAGGTTCACCTGAGAAAAGTAATTTATGGAGATTTCCATGGAAACTCCTTAAAAGTAAGGTTTTCAAAATGGGTGTACAAAGTGTTTGACAAGATGTTTTACAATTTTGAGTGCAATGACACAAGCAATGAAATGAAGACAATTAGTTGTAAGGACAATGATTATTCAGTCGGTACAAGTATAAATAATTGTGACATTCATGATAAAAGCAAGGGGACAGTGATGAGTAGCAAGTCAAAAGTGACCATTCTTTAGACATTTGTACGTACTCAACTGCTTCATATCCAAAGGCATTTGCCTTTGGACGAAATGAACATGAAACCGCCACTAGGTTGTGCCAAAACGACTACATGTTGTGGAGAATGAACTAACTATTGTGCAAAGTTTTATTCTGTTGTGAGAAATGCACCAAAGCAACTGAGAAAATTTGCATTCTGCAATTCACAATCACTGTCTGGCATCACCTGGTTTTAACTTTAGGAATGACATAAAAGCAAACAACCAACGAAAAGAGAGAACTGGCCACAAAACGTAGGATTCATTTTTATAAATTGCTAAAATGTGATTCTGAGGACAGGTGCCATGGTAGAAACTAATAAAAACAGTTTTTAGTTTTTTTTTAACCCAAACCCAATTCATACAGGGACTAAAGTACACTCCATGGACTGTTGGGTTTGGGTTTCAGCTGCAACATTCAGACAATCAGGCCAAAATTTGATGACAACAACGTGGAAGCATGATCCATCCTGCCTTGTATCAATGCTTCAGGCTGCTGTCGGAGGAAATGTAGGGTGTAGATGTTCTGGTCCCACTTTAGACCCCTTACTTTCACTGAAGCCTGGTTCAAACGCCACAGCCTATCTGAGTATTATTGCCGACCACGTTCCATACGGACCCATCTTCTGATGGCTGCTTCCAGTAGGGTACTGCTCCATGTCACAAACCTCAGATCAGCTCTAACTGGTTTCTAGAACATGACCATGAGTTCACTGAACTCCAGTCCAGAACCTTTGGTATGTGGTGGAATGGGAGGTTCTCATCAGGGTGTGATGCTGTCAAGTCTGTATGGACCAGAACCTCTTAGAAATGTTTCCCCTCCTTGTGAAAGACAGTTCTAAATGCAGAAGGGTTCAGACCTAATAAGATGAAGAAAGAATAAAATAAATGTTTCCAAGGTCAATGCTTCATCTCCCAGTGGTAAATAAAGTAATCTTGTTTTCGAGATAACGTGAAAATATATAATTTTATTTCTATGCTTTAGGATGTTTTGTTTGCGTGCACCTTATCTGGCTCCAGCGTGTAATTTATCATCTGGCTCAATACAGAGGAGGACCTACTGAACCCAAACAAAGTGGTTTTTGCTCTTTTATGGTTATTTGGTTTTGAGATTCAGCAACTTTTCCAAATCTCAGACAAACTAGTAGATTTTCTAGTGGTTTTTATGAAAGCTAAAGCACTAAGATGTGGTTGTTTTATTCAAAATGCAGGAAAAAAACAATTTCAACAAAGAAGATGCTATTTTATGCAAATTATCACATTAATTGAGTCATCAGATTTAAAATGCATATTTGGTTCTGCATGCTATTTACAACTGTCTGCTTCTTTCTGCTTTTTTTACGTCGATGAAACGCCCGTCATAAAAGTCCCAAACCAAGCCGCCATGTTGTTTTTCTACTTTTGTGGTTGGGTGACAGAATATCATCAAACAAACAGATTTAGAAGCAGCCAATAAAGACACTGAATGACAATCCCTTTGACGTTGATGCACTGATGTAATAAACCCCACATTAGTTTAAGCTAAAACACACATCTGTGCTGTGGTTTGGGCTTTATTCACAGACTTCATGAGATGTCAGACTCCTGTCATGCTTTGGGCTCTGAGGCTATAAATCATGTCACCTTTCAAAGATGCAAGTTTTCAGTTTTGACTTTAAACCAAGAAGAAAAAGCATGAATTTAGAAAAGAATGAAAGATAGAGGTGCACAGAATGGAGCACAACACCAGTGAAACTACAGTAAAAGTAGTTTCTCTTGTGGAGAGTTTTTTTACTTTACTGGTGATGTTCACTCAAAAAAAAAAGACTTGTTTTTCAATTGAAAAGTCTAATTTGAGTAATTTACATAGTTCTTA